AAACATAATGGATGTATGTGCATACACGAGTTGTCTTTGTGCTCGTATAAGTCAGCTCTCAGTTAAATGTAGTGATGTAGAAATATTTGTCTTTGAGATCAAAACTTAAATTAATATGAAATAGAAATAATTTCACCTTGATTGTTTCCTGTTAAATTTCACTGTTGTAGTTTTTTAAATTAAATAAATTTAATTTAATAATACAATAAATGACGTTTTGGACAAACATTTACATTATAATACCGAAGTTTGTTGGTCGTTGGTCTCATGAAGTATATTAGCGCACTGTTTACTAGCTAATCTTAAAATGACAGTCTGTCGGCCTCAGATACATCAAGTACCAGTGTGAAATCAAAGGAAATGAAAAATAAGATCAAATTAAGATTTTCTCCTTCATTTCTATCAAACAATGCAGTTTTAAATGTTTCTAGCTGATGATGTGTTGCTAGGCACACTGGGCAGCGCATTATGGGCTAGATTGTCCGATTTCACAGCCTCTCACTTCTGGCCTTCGTGGTCTTCCAAGGATCGGTCTATAAACCAGCAGACCCTGAACTGGCACCAAAACATACAAAGGACCGCACTGAGACTCGTTGAGGAGAAGAAGACGGGTTATTAGTGTTATGAGGAGAAAAGGTTCAAAGTAATGTGTATATTAATCACATGATTCATATAATGCACATATACATGCTTGCTATTAGCCATTTACTGTTAGTTTGTCATGTCCAGGTCTGGTCGGTCAGGTTATTGTGTCCCCAGAAAGACTTCAGTTTTTGTTCCTTTTCGTTGTGTTTTTTCCTATTTCTGTTTTGTTTTCTTTTTCAGTCTGGCTTTTAACTTGCAGAAAAGCCAAGGTAAGCCTCTGGCTGAAGCTCAGTGTAAGCATTTAAGGTAAAAGCTTTCAAAATGAACTTAGTTAGAGAGCTCTGCAGCAGAGCACTCACTCAAACCTTCTACACTGTCCTGGTTTCAGCATTGCTGCAGGACAACAGGAGCATGACAGACAATGAATCACAGACTGTGTTGTCATGTGCACAGTCATGATGTCCTGTAAAACTCTAAAGAGCTGGAGGTGTCTCTGAGATAGTGCAGCATTATAACATAGTAGTGGCCTTTTCCTAATTTTGGGAGATGCTCAGTCAGTTACCTGATCACACAAAATTGTGTTTCATCATTATACAAAACATTTTTAATGTTAAAAAGTTTAATGTTAAACTTTGTTTTGGTTTAAACACTGTGTCAAAACAAAGACAAGAATGTGACACTAACACACAGACCGGACGTGTGTCTCATGACTGAGCTGCAGGTGAAGCAGCAGCGCTTCTCTGGGTTTTCTCAGGTGTCCTGTGTGTGGAGAATAGTGACACCCACAGACAAGGTCTCCCATCACTCTGAATCTCCATGTCTGTAACTTATTTGTCCTGTCACGTCATCTTCATCAGGCCCTCCAAGTTTCATCACATTTCCTGTGAATCAGACGGGCATCTCGGGTGGAGTTGCTTCATTTGTGTGCCAGGCCAGAGGAGAGCCAAAACCCAGAATCACCTGGTTCAAGACAGGCAAGAAGGTCAGCAGCCAGCGATTTGAGGTGGGTGCTGATGCATGACTCTAACATTGCTAAGCATAAAAACGAATTCACACAGCCCCCACAGTGAATCACGCTCTTTATTTATTTATTATAAACATTTATTTAATTACTTC